AGGGCTAACGCTATGCTGTGAATAACGTATATCTTTGTCCCGTTACTATGACAACGGGCTGTATGAAGAGGATAAACATGAGAGGGTGGTTAACGTGTGTGGTCTGATATTAGTGATTAGTGATACCGTTTGTTGGTGAACTCTTTACTCTGTTCGCTGCTTGGAGGACCTATGGAGGAAGACCGTGGTTCCTGACTGCTGTACCTTCAAAATAAAAGCAGAAGCACCAGCTCTACTAAGAACAAGATTTTTGTTATATGATATGATACGGATTACTTTTTCGCCAAATTTTATCAATGCCAATATTGATACATATTGCATACATTTTTGGTTGATTGTTTTGGTTTTGGCCTGATATATAAGAAACGAATACAAATAATTTGGCCTGATATATAAGAAACGAATACTTCTTGTGTGTCTTATTTCAAATTTACAATCTCATGTGTTTATAATATTAAGCTCTCTTTGTTCTAGATTCAATGTATATGCAAAACATTTGTTTTCATATGAAAAAAATCAACATTACATATCTGGAGATAAGGAAAAACATGCACAAAAGCAGTCAATTTTTCATTATTTATTGAAAAATTGACTGCTAATTTTAATTTGAGTTTGACACCCCTGCTCTAAAAGATGTGGATGTAACACATTTTTTGAGACTAATCTATCGAACTAATCGAACTTAATATATGGATACAACAGAATCGATGCACCATCACTACTTAGCATTACCATTGATGCACGTTGTTTGTGACAAATGACTTTGGTGATCTTCCATGCGTCGATAGTATGTTCAACCGTCTTCCAGTCAATTTATCAATATTTGCTGCAGCACTAAACTGCATCAAAGTGGAGTGGGGAGTGTGTGATTAAAAAGCTTCTGCCTCCTCTCTAAAGTTACCACTTATGCCCCTGCGTGAAGTTTTGATTGTTGAACTGGTCTATTTTGAGAGCCTCTTCACAGAGACGACCACCATGTGGTGCCTCTGCCACCATGTAGGACGTAATGAAGCAGCAGTTAGTCCTGTGGAGCTCAGCGTGAGGTCAGTAAATCCACTTCCTGGAGGAGATACATTAGAAACTCTTAAAGCTGCCTCAAAGATGACACTTTCTCCCCCACTGCTTTTTACCACTTTCCACTGTCTTACTGTCTGTCTCTGGTCTGTTACTGTGCTGCTGACAACCAGCTCTGTGCCACAGAATGAGCCCGAGTGAAAAGGTGATAATATCCATCATTATAACACTTTCATGGACTTCCCTCCCTTTTTAATACCTGTTGTGACTTACAGTCACTGACTTTCAATCCACACCTTGATTTTTATTAGCGAGGACGTCAGCCCTCAGTACCTGGATAACGGTTCACATGAATCGCGATAGATGCAAATTGAGTACATACACAATAAGGTTTAAATAGTACACTGATGCAATACTACAGTGTAACCAGCCACTGTAGTACACATCTTTTTTTCATTCCCTAATTAACCATTTAAACCATTTATTATTATTATTATTGTTGTTGTTGTTGTTGTTGTTGTTGTTATTATTATTGTTGTTGTTGTTGTTATTGACATTTAGTTGTAGGCACCATGTTGGGGATTCGTGGGCCAGAAGTGGCACCTGGCCAGTATTTAGGCACCCCCTGACTTTCATTCATCATTCATTTATCATAACATTCTTATTTTTCAATAACCATTCAGTTACAGAACTGAAAAGAACAAGAAATCATCCGTGGGAGTCTGAGCCAAATGAAAATGCTTCATTCAAATCAATACCCAACCTATTATATATATATTATATATGTTATACATGTGCGGCGCACATCATAACAACATCATAACAACCCAGTTTAACATGAAGTTATGAATACATATCTAAAGGTTGAATAAATGGTAGTGTCCTCAAACTTCTCATTCAGACACAACCATTAGCTTTGATATCAGATAGTGCTATTGCTAATATACAGTGATTGAATGAAAGGCAGAATTGGCCCTGGGAGAAGTTAGAGCTGAAAAAAAAAGAGGAGATCATAAGAAATATTCAGATTTCTTTTTTTTTCACCCTTGTGGTGTATAATGAAGTCATAGTTTGGGTTTTGATGTGGAAGTAGGGAAGGAGAAGATGTCAAGGACAGAGGAATGGATGTAGTGATGGAGTGATTTTGTGAGAGAAAAGGAATGGCGAGGAGAAGACAGTGGAGATTAAGGGCTCAAGGAAGAGTGATTGTAGTTGAAGCTTTCAGTCAGTTAGAGGCGTGATCCGCAGAGAGGAAGTTGACAACCCCATCAGGAAGAAAATGAAAGAAAGGGGGACAAGGTTTTTCAGAGCAATGTGATGAAAACCTTGGGATAAGACAAAAAAAAACAACAATGAGGAGGAGGTGAGACGTATAAAGATGGATCAAACAGTCACTGAAGTGGTGAAGCTTGATGGGAATGGAGAGTTAGGAGAAGCAGGAGGTGTAAAAGAGTGGTTGGATTTTATTGGAGCATTAGATTGATGACTCTGCTTTACAGAGAGTCAACATGATAAAAAGGCTGAGTAGTAGAAACCTGAGGAAATTCCTGAAAAAAAAGAAACAGTCTTTGAAGAAAACTGAAGTCTGATTGGAGGGTAAGACATTTTATCTGAACATCTTTTCATGTTTTTATCTCTAACAGGATCTAAACCACATTTATTGTTTCATGGTGTCTTGGTCAAACTATTTGGCTTGGGGGGGACAACAGACTAGATCAGGGAATCCCAATCTTTTCAATGCCAAACAGCATATGAAAAGAAACATCAACTTTTTAAAATGTTTATTTTTCTTTGTTTTGAAAGTGAATTATTTGAGCTTGGAGCTTGGAGTTAATGAAATAACAAAGAATGCCAGTAGCCTGAAGAGAGACATTATGTGTAGAACTAATGAATACATGGGGAAAACAGGCAAAGAAAGAAGATATTATTTAAAGGTTGGTATGAACTAGATTTTAAGTAGCTCTAATTAAACTTTCTTAAAGTGAACCAAAACAAAAGCAAACATTGGATGAACAGTTAGCTAAAACATAGCAAAAACGGTACAGAACTGGTCAAAGGAAAAATCTAAAATTAAGCTCACACTTGGCTCGAAGTGAAAATAGGATAATTTAGTCTTGTCAGTCCCTGAAAACAATGTGTCTTAAAAATGTGTCAAACGTTTGAAAAAAAAAAGAGATTTTTTTTACTGTTTTATTGTCTTTGAACCTGTTGTTTCCTTGATCCAAAAAGAAATCTCTGCTTTGTTTTCACTGATGTGTGTTTAACAGAACCTCATATTCAGTGGGATAGAAGAATACATGCGGAGCTGCTGCATAACAAAGGGATGACGTGTGTAACAAAGAGAGGTCTGTTTGAAGTGACGGATTAGATGTAGTTTGGTGAATTAATCTTGCATCAGTGTCTCCCAATGACTTTAAACTCAGACACATTTGCACTTTGCAGGTAATTAAGGCACACGTTTTTATCATATGCTGCAAATTCAAAGCCCTCATGGTCTGTCAGTTTCACCAATTAGAGCAGTGATCTTAAAAGCTGCTGGAGCTCATCGACAGTCAGAGTCCAACTAACGAAGAAGCAGCTCATTACCGAAGGAAAGATGTAATATCCACGCGTTTGCTCCCTGCTAACTTTAGCTGTGAACTATTGAAAGAGAACTGGAGAGAGTGGGCGTGTGAGGGGGAGTCTGGGTCAGTTTAGCTAATACATAGCATATGGAATTGTTACAGTTTATCTACAACATGAAGATAATCATAACAATTAAAAAAAATCCTTTTCAGTATTGCTAAGTTTGATTTTAAAAATGTTCTATAGTGAAATATAGACATCCTTAAACCTGAATGTAAAATCCATAGGTTAGCACGTTAGCACAAAAAGGTAAGTCTAAAGATAACACAGGGTAAACATGTAGGAAAATAAGTATGATGTAAACCAAAAATAACATTAGCCAAATAATACAGAGCAGCTACAGCGATAAACAGATCATTAACACATGGCAAAGAAAAACAAATAAAGGATGATAACAATATTCAAAATTAGCTCTAGATTAGCTGCTCATCAGATACACACACAATTGTTATTCCTTAATCTAAAAAAAAGTTCTAAGCCCAAACAAAAACAAACAAAAAAAAAAGCCCAAATTTAAATTTTCATAAAGACACCTGGCAGGTACGGTATGTAACAATAGCTTACCAACTAAAAAGAATCAAAACATGACATTTAACATCTATAAAGATTATATATAAAACATAATGTTGAGCCCAGGAAGAATCTAACAAACACTGACATTTTAAAACTTCCCCTGAAACTTACAGTTAATAATATAGGATACATGACCGAATCAATTAGCCAAAGTAAGGTCAGAGACCATCAAGAAAATTTGACAGAAATATTTGACAGCAGTTCAACATGAGTTAAAGGATGACATCTTATCTGAGAAATGTCTAAAACAAACACAAATCTGCGTTGAAATGAGTTGAAACTATCTAACGATTAGCCTTTAAAATGTTAACTTTAAAACAGTAACCATCTTTTTCCTGCTTCAACTCCTTATCGGTAACACGTGGGTCGACAGACTCTACAGTGTTTACAGCACAACCACCAAGTCTCACACGTGTGCAGAGAACAGTGAGAGTGCTCTCTACTGTTTGGTTGAGGGTGATATCAAGACTTTCAAACAGAAAGTGTCAGATGGGAGTCAGAGAAGGGTCTCATCAGTGGAAAGCTTTCCTCAGACAGAGAGCGGTGATGGAGTGATTGAATAACCGATGGTGGCGCTGTGCCATCTGTCTACTCCGTGGACTGATGTTAGGGTCTCTAATGAACTCTCTCTAATGAGGATAAGACAACAAGTGATATAAATATCTCACAAACTGCAGCTTTGATGTGATATTTTAGAAAGGTGATAAGACCTCCCATTAATCTTCATCATTTGTCTATGTGCAGTAAGGATTAATGTTGTTTTTCTTTTTTTTTCATGTTATTGTCAGATGCTGTCCAGCTACCATGGAACACGGTGAAGACGAGCGACTGATACTAGATCCTTTTTAATCGCAGCACCAGTGACGACCCTCATGTGAAATTAATGTCAGCTGTGTTGCAGCAGCAGCTTCCAGCTGCTCCTCCTGATCTGAGACCACCCACGGAGACATGGCTCCAACAGCCCCGACACTGCTGTCTCTGCTAACACCAGCTGAATGAACAGAGATGCCGTCTAAAGTCTCCTGCTTGTACCTGCTGACGGTGGTATGTTGGGCCAGCGCCCTGTGGTACCTGAGTGTGTCCCGACCATCTACGTCCTATGTGGGACAGTTGAACTTCCCCATACGCAGGACACCCAGGGTAAACAAAAATGCCACCTTAAACAATATCCGCACCCGGCCCCTCAACCCACACGATTTTGACTTCCTCATCAATGAGGACAAAAAGTGCGAGGTGGAGCCCCCCTTTCTTGTCATCCTCATCAGCACCACCCATAAAGAGTTCGATGCCCGGCAAGCTATCAGAGAGACTTGGGGGGACGAGAGCACGTTCTCAGATGTGCGTGTTGTCACTCTGTTTTTGTTGGGCCGCAGCACTGACGCTGTTCTCAATGAGATGGTGGAGCAGGAGAGTCAGATCTTTCACGACATCGTGGTGGAGGATTTCATCGACTCTTACCACAATCTCACTCTGAAGACAATGATGGGCATGCGCTGGGTGGCCACATTTTGCGCTAAAGCTCAATATGTCCTCAAAACGGACAGCGATATATTTGTCAATATGGAAAACCTGATCTACAACCTCCTGAAGCCCACGACTAAACCCAGGAGGAGATACTTCACTGGCTATGTCATCAACGGTGGGCCAATCAGAGACATGCGCAGCAAGTGGTATATGCCAAGAGACCTGTACCCCGAGAGCAAATACCCTCCCTTCTGCTCGGGCACAGGTTACATCTTCTCAGCAGATGTAGCCGAACTCATATACAAGATATCGCTGCACACGAGGTTGCTGCACCTGGAGGACGTGTACGTTGGTGTTTGTCTGCGAAAGCTTGGCATACACCCCTTTCAGAACAGTGGCTTCAACCACTGGAAGATGGCGTACAGTCTCTGTCGCTACCGGCGGGTGGTCACTGTTCACCAGATTTCTCCAGAGGAGATGCACCGCATTTGGAATGACATGACCAGCAAGAAAAACCTTAACTGTTAGCAGTGACTTCACACACGAGCACCAGCAGAAGATTCAGGGAAGAGCTGTAACACCCGGAGAAAACCAAACAGCAAGAAATCAGTGAATGCTTAGTCAGGAGACTGCGGAGACATCAGGGTGTTCATCAGTGCTACTTATAGACCCTACTAAAGGAATGGACCTAGCCATACAGTTCCAATGGAAATGTAATCTTTTGATTTAAATATATGTATTCTGAAACTGTGATACGATTCTCACCCGTATATGTTCAAATAAACCAAGTCCTCTAACTAGGTACACTCTAATGAGAGGGTGAGGATATCATATGCAGATGGAGCAAACAGTAAAGCCTACTGAGAGCACACTGGTCACATTTGTTAAATTTGCCAAATTCTTCTACAAACCATCAAAACTCTTCACCTACTTCTGAGGATTTAACTTTTGCTATCAGATGGCTTGGCCAAACAAAATGTTGTTTGGTTTATGATGTAACTCAGCTTAGACTCTTACGGTATGGTCTGTTACAACATGTTTCCACACATAACTATGGGTGGTTCCAGTCAATGCATCACATATGGATTGAAAGAGTGAGGAATCAAAACCCACAGGAAAGTTGTCGGTTTGATTCCCAAACACAATGGGGGTCCTACTCTTTAGCTCACCATGCTCTCACTGTACCAGCGTTGCCACTGAAACTCATTTATTCACAACCACTGGAATCAGCTGTGAGACTAAACATTGAACTCATGGACTGTATATAAAACTAGACCAAGCCATGCCCCTGCAGAGCTAGCCTGTGTATATGACAACTAATTCTCTCTCCATTTCTAACGTCACTAATTGTTTTCCTGACAATCTTGTGATCTACCCACCAGTTCGAGATCGTCTCTATGTTAAATGAGATCTGTTTGTAATTATCAGTTGCATGTGGACAGAAAAAGAGTTATAAAAAAGAATATACAGTATATGAAGGAAATAGTGATAGTGAGTGTAGCGGTTAGCACGCCTTGCCTCGGAAGAGAGTCTGGGTTTGATTACCAGAGGAACCACATGCTTGGCGCTTGCTAGGGGCAGCCTGTTAGCAGCATATCTGCTGCTAACACAACAATTTCCCAAATACGGGATCAATATAGTACACATTTATTTTTATTTTTAGTGTGAAAGAATGTGAAAGTATATGATGAGTAACTGACAGCTCGATCATCCATTAGAGCACTGATTCTTAACCATAGGGTCGTGGCCCAAACTTGGGCCGCCAGCGCCAACTGGAGAACCACGAAAAACTTTGAGTTTTGCACCTGTGGGTAAGGACAAACGGCACAAAAAGTACACACCAGAGATACTGATAATGTTATCCATGAAGAGCTCAGTCGCAATGCAACTTTCGACCTTGTGGTGGCGGTAAAGCATTAGTTTGTTAACAGACTTCTTCTTTACGCTAGGTGTAGCAAAAGGTATGGAGGTTTTTTTAAACGAAAGGTTGAACGTCATGCCCCCCCCACAAAAGACAAAATTTCCGGGCATAATCCTGACTTCATCAAATATGAAGCTTTTTGCTAAGTGAATTATTGAATCCAAATCAAACTATGAGTGAGGGCAGTTAAACCTTTACAGTGTTAATAGTTAATGGGCCGCGGGACACGTCGTACTATAAAAAGTGGGCCTCAAGGTCAAAAAGGTTAAGAACCCCTGCATTAAAGGGTGTTCACTGTAACTGAAATAGTTCTTCTATAAAGACAGCCCTGCTGTCAGTCACATGCAGTGATTCATTTTATTAACCCTAATTATTAAAGTATCGCTCCAGAATCTATATTTTTGTGTATGATGCATGTGTGTTCAAGGTGGGTAAATAGTTGGACCTACATGGATTTTGATCTTATCTCAACGAGAATTTCACATTTAGATTCTTAACCATCCTTTTAAAGCAGCTACAGAGCAACAACCATTGTGTTTTTGCACAGGTACAGTCGTCATATCCTGAGTGGTTTGAAATATAATCATCTGGCCCAATTATCCCCTCCTAAAAGAAGCCTAGGTCTAATCTGTTTCAGTAAACTCCAGGATCTTGGCGTCAACAATAATAACCGTGTTTACAACTAGATTTTTGTTTTTGTTTTTCCACTGTCGTCACAGCATGTAGGCTTTGTTTTCCTTCGACCACTGAGTGACTCTGGGTTCCGGGCTTTATCTCACCCTGTATCAAACAGCTGGAGTTGGCTGCCGACTTACTGGTTGGTAATGTAATTGGTTGCTGTTGTGATTAATTTTAAATTTCACACATGACAACATGGGTTTAAAACCTACATTGTAACGTCTCATGCCGATTACAATCTTTATTTCCAAATGTTCCTGATGGATTTTCACTCCATGTTCTTTTGGAAGGAGGTCGTCACGTTCTTTCTGGTTTCGCAGCACACGGACGCCACTGCTGATCTGAGATTCAGAGACTCGTTTGAATATTTTAAAAACATCACTTGTATGGTTTCTCGGAGGAACACGGATATTTCTGGATGCTTCTCACAACACCCAGTGGATCTTGATCTTGTGAACCTTCACACGACAAGGATTCAGAGGGAGCAGCAATAACTGCAACCGAATGTTCCCTTTGTTCAATTGTACATTTGTGATTATTGTCTCAGGCACTGACCTGTGCTTTATTTTATATTAATTGAACATAAAGAAGAGGTGATTAACTGCTCCAAGTGTGCTGACGACAGATGCCACACAGTTGAGATCTTCTTTTCAGTCACTTGAGAATAAATAAACCACTTTTATAAAATCTTGACTTTTATTTATTACAAAAAAGTCAATTTTTTCTCTATCTCTAATTCTAGTTTTTGTTAAGTTCATAATTATCAACCTTGTTTTTTGTTGTTGATTTTACCTTAAGTCCAGACCAACTTTTTGGTGTCTTAGCAATTTTTCCAATATTTTTCTAACTGCTTCACCCGCATTACGACTCTTTTGATATTTTTTTATTTTATTAATTTTATTTTAGCTAAATGTAAGACATCTCACAAATATCCCCCTTCATGAAATAACTTTATTCTAGGGCACTGATAGAAAAAAAATATTTGTCGACACGTCACAGAAAATGTCATCGTCCCCTTGGAGGAGTCCAATGGTCTAAAGGTTTTTTTTTTTACACGTGTGCCAACACATTCTTCACCTCTGATTGGCTTATGATGATATTTGATCATTGACTAAACCAGGAGATATAATCATTTCATTAAACGGGCGGTTACGTTGCACAAGAACACAAAAAGTCACCCATCACTGGTAACAGACACTTTTGCTAATTTTGTCTTAGACAGATGTCTTTTTGATTTGATTTGATTTGATATTTGGTCTCATTCATTCATTATCTACCATCAGTTCCTCGTCAGTATTGTGGTGAGTAGAAGGAAAAACTACATGACCAGAGGGTCTCCGTCCAGTCTGTCCTGGAGGATGAAACTGTCACAAAGCCAAGAGTCAAACAGTGACCTGAGATACGATCATGTGACTGGGAGCTGATAGGACAACTGACTGCTGTGTTCTCTCCAATAGCAAAAACTACTACAGTAACGTATGGAGCGTTAGATGGTCACTGTTGGACCTGTGTTTCGGTGTAGACACTGTCAGTGTGATGACATCATAAATTAGTCGTCACCTCAACTTTGTACACATACATGTGTACGTGCAGCACTGGCAGTTCACCCTGAAGTACTTTTACAGTAATAAATCCTCCTCCACCACAGCAGTTTGGATCCCTTTGGTTCAAACACTGAAGGTAAAACATGACTTTACTCTGCGGCTGCGGGTGTAGTGTGGTGGAGTCTCATAAACACTGTTGTTACCTGCAGCAGCTGAGCTCAGTTTGAAACCAGCCTCATCTTTCAACCTGCAGAATCCCACAGTTTGAATGTGGAAAAGAAACACACAGTCGCTGCGTCTGCTGATCTATTTTTCTCCTGCAGGTGTTGATGTGTGTGCAGCAGTGAACAGACCACCTGCAGCATGTAATTACATCTAACATAAAACCTGGGTAATTAGCAGTCAATAGACGTTTAGACCATAGCCGTTCTAAGAGGAATTACGGTAAATAATAAGTGAGCGATGAGTAGAAATGGAAGTATTCTTAAAAATGTATTCATTTTTAAAGGCCTGTCTGTTGTTTAAACATCAGTACCTGTGTCACTCACCTACGCTAACACAGTGATGACATCATAATCTAGGGCATAAAAACACCAGGACAGTCTGATTTACACTTGGGAGCCATAATGAAGGTCAAAAAAACAACACAAAGAAAAAAAAGTTAACGTATCACAATCCAATGTATGGAGTACAACCAGCCAATGTAAACAAAGAGGTAGGTGACAAGTCATTCATCCACTGAACTACTTCCTGTGTGAAATTTGTTTTAAATGCCGTGCCTCGGAAAGATTGAACAAGACTTTTGTAATACATTTATGGGAGATGACGACTGTTGTAAGTCATGCATAAAGGCTACAATGCTAAAATGCTTGTAATATTTTCTATGCCATCTATTGGGAAAACATGGGTATTGCAGGGAAAAGGCAGAAGTATAATGATAATATTAATAAATTATATAATTTGGAAAAGTTTGGTGGGCCGGATTAAAAAGCTGAACGGGCCACATCCGGCCCCCAGGCCTTAGTTTGCCTATGCCTGTGCTACACGTTTGACACACATATGGGTAAGGCTCTGTGATTTTCTCTCATCTCCCCCAAAACACATTATACACAGATATACTTTGTTTTTTAGATGCATTGATATATATATATATATATATATATAAACTCCTAACTTTAAGCTTTAACCTACGACTTTGTTCTTGTCATCCTGCCTTTTCTCCTACAGTGGTCTTGATATTCCATGGCCCTTCTTTTTCACAGACTAAGGACTTTATGCTCGGAATGTTACATTGTTATTTTTTTTATCTCCAATATGACACTTTATCCAGTTATTGGAAAGACAGCCTGATTCCTTTAGCCTGTGGGGCGGCGGTCTTATCAGCACGTACACTTCAGTGTCTGCATGTTAAACAGTCTCGTCCTTGAAGTTGAATGAACACCTGCAGATTTCAGCTGATGTGACTCAGTCAAAGGTGAGTGAATCAGTCCGTTTTCATTAACTCAGGAAATTACAAGCTGGGAAACACGATCCTATTTTTATCGTAAATGAGGAAACAATTTCCTCAAGGTGAAAACAACGACACACTGATGAGTTGATGGAGGTGTGATGCGATGCGGGGACTTTGTGCTGGTGTAAAGACTCCATGTCCACCCCACAGGACAGCCGTCCTAACCCTCTAAGGCTCCATGATATTTCATTTCACTCTGAGCCGTTATTACAGATGAGGGTTTGATTTGAAGGCCTGTCAAGGCTCCAATAAACAGGCCTATAAAACATGTCACCGGTGGGGTTTCTATCTCAGGGATGACTCATGGAGCGGTTATATTTGAAGCCACTCTTGTCTCGTATAGTTACAGGCTCAGCAGCTTTCAGCATCTTAGAGTCAACCATATCTGTCTGAAAGACCCATTCTCCCAAACACAATTATATAAGGACAATTATTGGGGGTTTTTTGGGGGGGGGGGGTTACAACCAGACACAGGAGTTGTCGATGAACTGCTGACTTCACTAATTAATTACAAGTATTTTGTCTTTAAGAATTCCCTCCCTTCCTTCACTTAATGATACAGAAGAAGACCAGCAGCTCCCGTGACTACTTAACCCATATCACCCTAATTTTCTCTATGGGCTTCAGTAGAGGAAGGTTAAAATGATTGCAGTGAAAATGTCAATTAGCAAAGGCAAAATCACTTTGAATAATTTATGTGTTTGTATTTCCTTCCTAGCGTCATTGCCCTCTTTTGATGGTGCCTCCTCTTTCCTGTACATGACTGCGTGCCAAGGCCATGTTAAAAATTTTAAAAATAAAAATGACCCGAATGATGTACATTTTACAAGACTGAAGTCATAACATTATATGAAAAAGTCGTACGTTTATGAGAATAAAGTCATAGGTTTACAAGTCATAAATTTATGAGATAAAGTCATAATACTAATGTCAACTTAACAAGAAGATTAACAACGACACAGAAGATTGTGATTGAGATTGTGATCAGTCAGAAGGTGAAGTCTCTCTCCATTTTATTCCAATACTAAAGTATAACTTCACTCCACATTTCTCATTTTGATGTACAAATGGTTAACGATGTTCCTACTTCTCTTGTTCCCCCACAATGACCATAATCTCATTTATTTATTATTATCATTTGTGACTCATAAACCACTACAACGTTTTCTTCATAAAATCACTCCCTTTTTTATCATACATTTCATTAGATTTCATTACATTTCTTCATTCTCAATGTGGCCCTAATACACACTGTACCTGTGGAGAAGAAGAAGAAAATAACATGATAGAAATTGTCATGGGACAGAAAAAAATGACAACACATTTACTCAAATAATTAATTTTCTTCAGTTTATCAAGAGATGGTTTTATGTAATTTAACAAAGAAACACACAACCTTGTGTTTTTAAAACGTGGAGTAATTTTTTTCCCACAACTTCTCCTCACTGCCGTGCTATATATTTTTCACTGATTAAGACTTATGGCCGATGTAATGTGGTATAATGTGCTGAGTAATAGAAAGTCAGAGATGTAATTGACCCGTAAACTCTGGTGGTTGAGCATCTAATGGTCTAAAAGCATCAGGGAATTTAAAGCCGATGATAATCTGGAGACAAAGCAGCCAGCAGTGTCTAAACGTCAATAACTATGGCTGAGACATAGAAGAGGTAGAAACACACACACACACATATATATACAGTATATACTATATATATATATATATATGTTATGTCCACTACACTATGGAACCACAACAAATGTGGATACTCACCACAATACTGACGAGGAACTGATGGTAGATAATGAATGAATGAGACCAAATATCAAATCAAATCAAATCAAAAAGACATCTGTCTAAGACAAAATTAGCAAAAGGCTGCTTTGATTAGAATTAGATAGTAGCCTAATTTCAAAAAGAAAAAATAGATGTGCCTGAGGTGAAACTTAAGGAAGTAATTAACGCCTGAAGAAATAATAAGAAAGCTAAACTGAAACTATAATATGACTAAGACCCTGGAAAAATAGTTTTAATCCCAGCAACCAGCCTTCTGAAATGTATTTCATGATTTCTCTATTAAAACTGTAGTTTTTTACCCAGCATCCCTCGTGTTTTCAGTCACTGTGACCTGTCCTCTGAAGGACCGACAGAGTTTGTTTATGAAAGCCACAGCCACAGAATAAATTGTTGCTGCAGAACCAACCATCTGTGCAGCCCTCCTTGAAGCCCACAATCCTTTCTCTTCCACTGGGTAAAATGCCACAGGGGTCAAAGGTTGGAAAGCATCAGAGGGCTGCAGCTTCTACGGCGGGATTTCAGTGGTTACGGTCTTTTCTAGAAGAATAAACACCCAAACTCATGCAAAACTTCACTTATTCCCCTAGAGGGCTTTTTTTGGGAAAATGTGTTCTTCTGTGATAAGACATTTTGTCAAGTTATGTAAAGAGTTTTGAACAATCACTAGTGGAGTTTCACCCAGCACTTGTCTTGTCATGTCTCAAGAAGATGATGAAGAATTCTACTTCTGAACAATGAACAATGACATGACCAAAATGCTGTGTTGCAAATTAAATAAAGAACAATATTCAAAGATGATGGTTTGTAGAGGAGTGAAAAAGGAGTTTTGACTATGGCCAACCACAAGTTTCTTATTCATTCATTCATTCTATGAGGTCTGTCTGCACCTCCCCCTGCCCCCACCCCCCAACCCAACCCAACCCAACCCCCACTTTTGCCTGCTGTCCAATCAGTGTCATCACACTCACCTGTGTCCTGTGATCACCTGTTCATCAGTCTCACTGGGCTCACCTGGTGTCCTGGGTATATATACCTCTCTCCTTCACTCAGTCTTGGTCAGGTCATTGGTCTGTGTTCATAGTTCCTGGTTGATTCCAGTTCTTACTTTGTTTCTGCCTGGTCTTGGCTCTGGTGAGTTTCTGTTATTTTAATTTTTCTTTCCTGCATTTGTCCTGTGGGTCACCTGTTGATAATTACCTCTTTACTTTATGTCTTACATTCCATAGAGGTTAGCTTAGTAAGTTGAAGTTGTCAAAGGCAAAGATATACTGTAGTTAGGTAACTGAAGTAGGCAACATGATGTTAGTATGTACATTTTGAAAAGCTAACCCAATAAACAGGTGTTGAATTAGCAAGTATGCCATGGGCGTAGAGGCACCTGTACAAGGAAATGAATTAGCAGAGCTACACTAAGTAAAAGAACTAAGTAAATAGCTAAGTTAGCGAAAGGTGCTGGGATAAACAAATGATTATAAGTAAAAAAAAAAAAAAAAAAAAGTCAAGATATAAATTAAATAGCACCAGGAGCTTATGTAGCTGAAGGGACGCTTGTACATTGGCCAAATTAGCCAAATTATTAAACCTTTCAACAAGGGGTAGCAGTAGTGGCACAAGAGATAAATAGTAGGAGTATTAGTACAAGGAGTATCAGTAGGAGGAACATTATTAAGAAAAACAGTAGGAGGTCCATTAGGTTAAAATCAGTGGAAATAAGTCAACAGTAGAACGGTGCTGAGAAATAAGGCAACACCACTGTAACTAGTTTGGTTTCCTTGTTTTC